ACCGGGCAGTTCTATTTGACGATATATATATATATATATATATATATATATATACAGGGTTGCCGGTGTTCGGGATGGGCCGAACGCCCGAACTTGAACGCCCGAACGTACGGGACCCCTTCGGGAGGCGTTCCGCCGTTCGGGCCGCACGCGGACAAAAAAAAAAAAAAAAAAGTTTTCAAACAATTCCCAAAAAAAACTCTGTTATGAAGAAACATAAATTAAACAACATTTGTCTGGGCACTACATCCAAATTGTTTACCAAATTTAAATTAAAAATCCAATACAGAAAATAAACACTGTGATAAAAATAAAAAAAAATAAAAAGAGAATTAAAATCAGTGAGTGTGCCAGCACCTTTTCGACACCGCCATCTTTGCCGATTTTTAATTATTTTTCGGCATTGACAAATGCCTTGAAAATTTACAGATATGTAGTTTACATAATCAATAACTCATTAAAAGTTTTTCAAAAAATAATAAATTTTTTTAGGCCCCGAAATAAAGTGAAAACAAAAAGGTAAAAGGTGAAACAAACCGAAATAGTGAGTGGGCAAGCACGTTTTGACACCCCCATCTTTGACGATTTTTAATGTTTTTTAGGCTTAGCATAATGGCTTCAAAATTGATAGGCGTGTAGGTTACATCATAGAGAACTCACAAAAAAAACTTCAGAAAACAAAACTTATTTTTAAGCCCCGAAATATTTTTTGGTGGGGGCCGAACCTGGAGTTGTTCGGCCCCTGAACAGGACCCCGAACGCCCGAACATTCGGGGGCCAGCCCAGGGCCCCCCGAACGTTCGGTCAGGTAACCCTGTATATATATTTATATATTTATATATATATATATATATATATATATATATATATATATATATGTCGTTGTCCCACAACTCTCTATGGTCAGAGACATGTACAATGGCCATGTAAGGCAGGGATGTGGGATGAAGGGTTAAACCACTCACCTGCTCGAGCATTGCGTAGTTCAAGTTGACGGTCCCTCATTGTTACTTGTAGGACAACAATGGTAAAGCCTCCTTCGCTGGTAAAATTACAATCCTCTGGCTGTTGTTGGGGAAGATCAGCATCAAGCTGAAAAGCGATTGCAAGGAAGTCTGATGGTGTATAAAACAGGCGATGGAGAATGTGAAGACATATATTAGTTGTTGTCAAACCACAAAGATTGGTAAGGCTCTCAGGCTGGTTTGTTAGATGTTGCCCAACAATTTGCAAATCACCCAGATGGCGTTGCAAGCCCAACCTGTGTTGGGTTGTTTGTTGGTCAGTCATTTGCAGATCACCCATGTGGTCTGCGTGTGGCGGAGCACAAAATTTTGTTTCATCCGAACAATGTTGGTCAGCCATTTGCAGATCCCCCATGTGGTCTACGCGTTGTGGGGTCAACTGCAATCCGGGTAGATCATGTTCCAATCTCTCAACATTTAGGGATGCATCATGAGTAGGGATTATACCTGGAGTCGGGAGTGTACTCTAGGCAGCGGCTGCATTCTGAGTAGGGACTAGTGGCTGCCAGCAGGCAGCTGGACTGTTTGCAAGAGTCATAGGAGCTGATATTGTCGTTTGGAACAAAGGAACCGCAACAACCTATGGAGGAGGCACAATCAGCGAAGACAAAGAAACAGGTTGCTGATCCTCGGACAAGTCACGGTGTCGCGGATGTCGTCGGTGATACACAACAAGAGGAGTAGTGGTGTTGCAAACAGAAGCTGAATTTGTACCTAGCAACGCAGGTGGAACAAGGGGAAAAATGGAAACTCGAGAGTCTATTCGCAAGCGAGACCGTGGAGGAGATGGGGGTGGTGAGGAGGAACGCAGTCGTCATCGGCCAAGCACAGGCAAAGATGAGGTGGGGGTGCGTTGGGCAAGATTTCGGAGCAAAGGACGTGAGCGTCGAAAAGATTGTGATGTTCTTTGCATTAGAGCTGCAGGACATGAAGCTATAGCAGTAAAAACTAAAGTAGGGGGAATTACAGTTAGGAAACCTGCTATACTGAAAACTGCAGCAGTGGAAACTGGAGCGGCAGAAACTGGAGCAGTGGAAACTGGAGCAATGGAAACTGCAGCAAAGGAAACCGCAACAGTGGACACTGCAACAGTGGAAACCGGAGCAGTGGAAACTGCAGCAGTGGACACTTCAGCAGTGGAAACCGCAACAGTGGACACTGCAGCAGTGAAAACTGCAGAAGTGGAGACTTCAACAATGAAAACTGGAGGAGTGGAGACTGCAACAGTGAAAACTGCGGTAGCAGCAAATGAGTAAGCAGGGGGCAGAACGAGAGCATCGTGGGGGCGAAGAAGAAATTGGATGATACAAGGACCATCGCAACATGCGCCGGAACCACTTAGAGAGATGCGTCACATGTGTAGGATAGCGACGTTGGCGGAAGCGCATGTAGCAGGTCCACCCCTTAGCAAGGGTTGGTGGGGAATGCCCACGCGAAAGCATACAACGAGTAAGTGTTGTTGCCACAGTTCGAAAGTTGTTACAGATTTGTTCAAATCTGGTCAATTGCCCAATGAACACACTAGCCGGTTGATGGGAAGGGATGTTGGAGGTCGCACTTGGATAACGAATAACAGTAAAATCCCAAGCAGTCGCTTAATCAAAGACGCTCATGTGAAGCGAGCCATCGGGACGGCACCATGGTCCATGCCATGATTGATGTCATTGATTTCTTACATGATGCTGTTTTCTTGCCACAACAAACCGTCTGCAATCTTTTTTATGTCGAAGATCATTCCTCTGGCCCCGTGCTGCAGCAAAACAATGCACCAACACTCTGCGACCTTCTCCTTTGCACAACCACAAACACTGTTACACTCAGTTGTAGCCGCCATTGTCTCTGTCACAATCACTACAATGACATGGTTTCGACATCTGCATGTGCAGAGGATTTTTCTCACCATTCATGACTGCAGGCAGGGTTGTCACGCGTGGGCCCCCGGGGGCAAAGTCGAGGTAGGGGTTTGACCCCCGGACCCCCGCCGCGGGGGTGCCTTACCCCCACCCACCCCAAAACACCCCCG